GAGGAGAGGGGGTCGAGAGGGGGTCCAGCGCCTGCCCGGCGGGTTGCGGGAGGGCTGGGGCCCGCTCGGGAGAGGCGGCCTGGCCCCTGTCTGCTAAGAGTTAGGGGCCGCGAAGGCAGGGCTTGCCCCCCCCTGCTCCCGCCGCCTGGCAGCGCCGCCGCCCCGCATCTCGCAGCCGTAACTCAGCCCCTCGCCTCCGCCGTGCGGGCCGCTGCCCTTCCCCCGGTGCTAAAGGTAAAGCTGCCCCCAAAGCCTTTTTTTTTTTTTTCTTTTTTTTTTGCTTTTTTAAAAATTATTTCTCCTTCTCCCGAGGCCTTTCAGGGGCGCTCGGGACCACCGGCCGCTCCCGGGCTGCAGAGTCCCCGCAGGGGGGAAGGAGCGCGACGGAGGCCTGCGGTGGGGGGTCTCCCAACGGGAGCACAAGCCCCCGCAGACCCGCTGCTCGGTGCCCGGGAGTGGGAGATGGCTAGGCGGCCGGCCCTGGTGGCGCACGGAGACAGATCCATGGCTGGATTTAGAAAAATGAAATATAAGTGTAAGTTGGGGGAACGTAGGAATCCCCCGTCTCCCCCCCCGTTGCCCACTGCTGATAAAGCAGCCGCCCCGGGTAAAACCCGGATAAACCCCCACCCCGGGCGGACATGAGGGTCACATCCTCTCCGCTCTCCCGGCCCGGCAGGGGAGGAGGGTGAGGAAAAGAGGGGAACCGGCCGCCCCGGGCGGGGGTCGCCCGCCCACCCTCCCGCTCTCCTCCGGGCGGCAGGTTTGGAGGGGTGGGAATGGAGGGGAGGCCCCCGGGCGGCTCGGAGGGCCGCGCTCTTTGCCTGTCCTGCTGGTGACCCCCCTTCACCTCTGGTACTTCGCTGGCGGAGCATTGTCTCCAGTCACAACAAACCAGAAAGGAGCGCTGGAGCAGGCAGAGCTCCAACGTTTTGACGGGTGGAAGAAAAACATCAACAGATACTTTGCAATTATTTGGTGATGGGGGCTAGGGGGAGGCTGGGCGGGGGAGAGGTCGGTTCGCAGCAGCAGACGCTAATTGCATAAAAATTATTTCTCCTTCTCCCGAGGCCTTTCAGGGGCGCTCGGGACCACCGGCCGCTCCCGGGCTGCAGAGTCCCCGCAGGGGGGAAGGAGCGCGACGGAGGCCTGCGGTGGGGGGTCTCCCAACGGGAGCACAAGCCCCCGCCACCGCTGCAGGAGGGCCTGGGCGGGGGTCGGCCCTGCCCCGGGGCCTGCCGGTGGCGCAGCCCCCCCGCCCGCCGCCCCGGCCCCGCTGCGGAAGGCCGGCGAGACAAAGCGACGGGGTGTTCCTCGGGGTCGCGGAGCAAAAAACCGCCAGCGCCGACTAAAAATACACCTCCTGCTCGCCTGAAGGGTAAAAACGAGGAGGGGCGGGGGGCCAGGGCGGGAGGAAGGGGGGACGTGGAGTGGGGGGACAGACCCGCTGCTCGGTGCCCGGGAGTGGGAGATGGCTAGGCGGCCGGCCCTGGTGGCGCACGGAGACAGATCCATGGCTGGATTTAGAAAAATGAAATATAAGTGTAAGTTGGGGGAACGTAGGAATCCCCCGTCTCCCCCCCCGTTGCCCACTGCTGATAAAGCAGCCGCCCCGGGTAAAACCCGGATAAACCCCCACCCCGGGCGGACATGAGGGTCACATCCTCTCCGCTCTCCCGGCCCGGCAGGGGAGGAGGGTGAGGAAAAGAGGGGAACCGGCCGCCCCGGGCGGGGGTCGCCCGCCCACCCTCCCGCTCTCCTCCGGGCGGCAGGTTTGGAGGGGTGGGAATGGAGGGGAGGCCCCCGGGCGGCTCGGAGGGCCGCGCTCTTTGCCTGTCCTGCTGGTGACCCCCCTTCACCTCTGGTACTTCGCTGGCGGAGCATTGTCTCCAGTCACAACAAACCAGAAAGGAGCGCTGGAGCAGGCAGAGCTCCAACGTTTTGACGGGTGGAAGAAAAACATCAACAGATACTTTGCAATTATTTGGTGATGGGGGCTAGGGGGAGGCTGGGCGGGGGAGAGGTCGGTTCGCAGCAGCAGACGCTAATTGCAACCTTTGCTTTGCTAATGAGCTCGCACCGGTTCATTCCGCGCTCCTTCTCCCACCACCACCCACCCACCCCACACACCCCCCCCATCCCCGCCCCTGCGGAGCGCTTGCGGGGCGGGGAATGGCGTCGGGAGAAAGCCGTAATTTTGCTGCAATTCGTTATTGGGGTTTAAATCCATCCCATCCTTGAGAGGCGAGGTTAGAAGCGCTGGCCGCCAGCGCTTGCATAAATCCTCGCTCAGGGAGAGCGGCGAGCAGCTTCTCGCTGGCAGAGGCGAGGTGCGTGAGCGCCCGCAACCCGTCCCGCAACCGGGCACCCCCGTCCCAGGGCGACGGGGCTTGGCAGGACGACGTTCCCCTCCGCTAAGCTTTGCGACTGCCAGAGCTATTTCCCGCAATCGGAGTGGGGAAACGCGTATCTGTACGCCACACACGCGTATAGAGAACAGGAGTCCCAGTAGAAACCCGCATCAAAAAGGCAGCGCGAATGTATTTATACTGGGCAATCTCGCAAGCACCGACATTGTTTAAACAATTCTCCTCTTCTTTGGACGGTATTATCAGTACTTTTCACATTATCGTTCAATGGAAAACATTCTTCTTTTTCCTTATTTCAAATATTTATTTTAAATTTTTGAAAAAAAAAAAAAAGAATTAAACTCGGCCGCTTAAATGCTCTGGCAAGTAAGTAAATTCCAGTAACGGTGGGGGGAAAACGGCTATGGCGTTCCTTCTAAACCGAGCCCTTGCCTTCCGAGGGACGACGGCTGTAGCGATATGACCCGTTTATTCATCGATTCATATAATATATAAATATCCTGAACTCATGAGTGTAATAATTTGCGTTTTTTTTCTACTGGAGGAAATTCAGCTATTTTAAGAGTTAATGGTTCTAAATGTGTTGGTTTTCCTGCATTCTCCCCAGAGGTGGTGGGGGCTGGAAAGGAGGGGGGGGATTCCAGTTTGGGGGTTTCACTGTTGGTGTTTTTAATTCTGCTGAAGGCAGCCCAAAGCGAGTGACCCGAATGCGGGGTAACACACCGCGCCACCGAGCCCCCTGACACCTAAAGGTCAGGTGAAAGTCCCCAGCAGGTAAGTCGCGGGCCAGCTGCTTGCCCAGCTCACTTGCTCTCTGGCTCACAAATTGTTCCCTTCTGCCCACCCAAGTCGTTTCAAGCTGTGTTTATTTAGGGGGCAAAAAAAAAAAAAAAGGAAAAAATCGCCGACCACCCAATTCCCATTCAGCCGGAAAGCTTGTGAGCTCGCTCTCACCGGTAGCCCGGGTCGCTTTCCCCCATCTCGGTGCTTTTTAATAGCTATTATTTTGCGGCACACGCGTACCAAGGAAGGCACAAGTTACGGGCCTAGAAGGTCGCGGAGCTGCGCGCAACAGACGCGTTTGCTTGTGGGGGGCGAGGAAGAATTCCCCACCACCCCCAAACCCTGCTGGCACACCGGAGGGAGGGAGGGTTTGCCGGCCGCCCCCCCGGCAAAGCGCCGTCGGGCTGGAGAAACAGGCGAGGACGAAAAGGAGCCCTTTGGACGGCGGGGGCTTTCCCTGCGGGGCTGCGCCACCGCCTGCGCCCCACACACCACGGCCCCCGCTCCGCCGACCCCGGCCACCCCCCGACGGAGCTGGGGCCTTCACCCACCGCCCGTCGGGTGCCCAGCGAATACCTCCGCCGCTTCCCAAAATCTCTGGACGCCAGCAGCCTTCCCACAGAGCTAAAAGCAAGGGGAGAGGGGTCATCAGCAAATGACACCGAGGGCCCCCCTGCTCCTGCCGGACCAGCCGGAGGGACCCTCGGGCGAGCTGGGGCTTACTTCAAGCCCTCCAAATAGGCTTTTTCGGACGCTTTCTTGCAAAATGAAGGGTTCCTGCTCTCCTTCCACACTTCCATAAGCACCTGGTCGTTTGCTACCTCTCTCTGCGCTGCCAGCCCCCCGTCCCACCCCCGACTAGGACAAGGAGACCTGCCCGTTGCCCCAGGTGCACGTGTAAACTTTTAAGAGGGGGACGGGGGGGACACAGCGTTGCTGGAAGGGGTCCCCGGTGCCCGCTGGGGTGCGGGCTGCAGCCGGGCCCCGCCGAGACTCCCCCGCACAAGAAGCCGGCCCTCCCCCGCCGATGCGGCTATTGTTTCGTTCAATTAGGCTCCGCTTGATAAAAAACAATCGCTCGTTAACCCTCGCCCTCCTCCCTCCCGGCTGGTGTGTTGTGAATGGCGACATCGTCTCCCTTGACCCCCGTCTCCTTTTCTGTCTTTTCTGTCCCCTGAAAAATGATTCCGCGAGCTCTGATTGAATTTTATTCCTTCCTGACCTGGCCCGTTTTTATTGCATGGACACCATCAATCTTGACCTAACGCGACGTTTGTTTATTACTTTGGAAAGAAGCGAATGGCTTTATGAGCCCCAGCCTAATTAAACCAGGAGGGCTACGTTCATCGCGGCACCGCACCACCTTTGGGGCGGATTCACAACGCAGACGAGCCGCCGGGGAGGCGAGGCAGAAGGGAAAAGAAAAAAAAATTAAAATAATAATAATAATAATTTTAAAAAAAGAGGGGTGGGGGATACCACACCGAGGGACGGGTAGGTGGCATCCTCCCAGCCCGTGAGCTCGTGTGCGAGATGCCGGCGGCCCGAAACACACGCACGTCCCAGGGGAGCACCCAGCAGCTCCCTTACGCCACACTTTAGGCCACGCGGAGCGCTTCTTGCGCAGCTCACCGCGGAAACCTGGGCGCCACCACCTGCGGCAACCCGGAGGCACCCACCGCCGCGCTCCTTACCCTCCACCCCCAAAAAACCCAACCCCACCTGCGCAACTTAAAATGAGGGAAGCATTGAGCCTGCGCGCCTGGCCGCAACACAGGGAACCGGGGGGAAAATGGACTGACCGCGCCGAGGGGCTTAAATTAATTGACAAGCGAAATTCATTAAAAGCTAATGTTGAAACGGGTGCTTTCGGGAAGAGGCTGGGGGCAGCGCTTCCAGCCGCCCCGCCGCACCGCAGCGCTCCCGTACCTGCCTGCGCGCCCGCGCAGCCATGTGCGCGCCTCGGCGCTGCACGCTTCTGCCCTGAGCCACCCCGGCCACGTACCGCGGGCTGCGCGGGGTCACCTCACGCCCCTCTTTCCCGCGGGTGCAGAACCCTGCGCCACCTCTCCTATCTGCGCGGCGGCCCCGCGCAAAGGCCTCCCGCAAATCCCGCGCCGGCTTTTGCGTGCGCTCCTTGCGCGCAACGCGCAAGCAAAGCCTCCCTAGGTCCAGAGCGAAGCCTTAAGCTCGCCCCATATTTCTGGGGGAGGGCGGCCTGCTGCCGAACTGCCCCCGGTTTGGTCACCCGCGCTGCAACCCCTGGGTTACCGAAAGAATTGCGAAATTAAACCCGACTATGAAAATATTCCCGTGGTAACTTCCAAGCGCCTTTCCCGAACTTCGCGGCTTTCAGAAAGTGCCCCAGACATCGTGAAACGCCCATTTGGAAACGTTCCCTTAACGTCTCCATCCACAACACAGTCTCACCATGTTCTCCCTCTGACCTGGCCTATGGAGGTAGGGAAGGGGTTTTTAAGCCATGTCCTCTCAAACTATTTGCATGCACTTCTCCGCTATTTTTGGGTTATGACCTTTGCAGAACATAAGATGAACTGTCACTCGCTTGAAGAAGAAATTCCGAGGAGAAAACTTAGAAGGGAGAATATTCCGCTTATCTGTTTTCTTCAGTTTTGGTGACAGATGAGCAAATAAACCACCACAACCAGCTAAACGGAATGGGCCCTCACATGAATAAATAATAATTAAAAAAAAGTGGTTTGTTTTGTTTTGTTTTTTCTAGAGGAAAAGCAAAGCGATAGTTTGGAACAGAAAAAAAAAAAAAAAAAAAAAAAAAAAAAAAAAAGAAGAAGAAAAAAACACACCTTGAACTAAAAATACAACACAAAGCGCCGTGCTAACCTGGCACCTAATGGCCAACTCCGCAGGCCGGGCCGGGGCCGAGCGTCCCCTCTGGCTGTCGGGGCTGCCACCAAAGATGCAAGAGGCCTGACGGAGGCACCTTTCGGCTTCCGCCTGGGCGCAAGTCCCGCGCCCACCGCCGCGCAGGGTCGGACCGCATCTCTTTGGGCGTTCAGGGCAGTCGCAATTCTGCTGGGAGACAATCAATCACAGGTCAAGAAGGGACACCGGGCTTTGCCTCCTGTTCGCAAGGGGAGGGAGGGACAATGGGGACAAGGGTCCGGACGCCCCGTCCGCTGCTCTGCCCCCCAGCCCCGGGAAGGTTTCGGGCCTCCCCGCCCCCTCCTCCCCCCAGCAGCAGGGACCCTTTCCCGTCGGAGACCCCGGCCCGGCGGAGCGCAGAGCGGCGCGGCTGCCCCACCGTCCGCGCAACCCCGCGCAGGGACCCCGCGGTACCGGCCGCCTGGGGCTGCCAAGCCCGCGCAATTCCCTGCCCGCCGGGGAGTCCCTCCGCACCGCTAATGTTATTTTCGTTATGAACAATTTCTGTGCGGAGAGGGAGAAAAAAAGGATTATAATAATAATTTTAAAAACAGTATATATATATATTATTTTTTTTTTAACAAAACTTGCAGCCGGGGCCGCGGGGAGTGCAAGTTGCGCGGTCGCCCCGCGGTGCCGGGGCCGCGGAGGGCAGCGGGCCGCCCCGGGGCGGCCGGGGCATTAACGGTAATTACAGACGGCACTTGCAGCTCCTCACACACACACACACACACAGCTCTCCACAGCTGAGCAGCACCACCACCAACGGGCAATGATTAAACAAGCCGACCCTCCTATTTATTTTCGCCACAAACACCCTACCGCTGGAGACCGCCGGGGAAAACACCCAAAATACAGGAAAGCCGGCGCCTGGTCGTGACAAAAATAACAGGCAAATACAACACGCCATCGCCTCTCTACCCTCTCCTTTCTTTGATTTTTAGTTTTATTTTAAATAACGCGGGAATGGCGGCCACCTCGCCGGCAAACCCAGCGGCCGGGGGGCAGAGGGAGCTGCCGCCGCCGGGGCTCCCCTCTCCGGTAACGGGGAGCGGAGGAGGGAGGTGGCGAAAGCCTCGCTGTGCCCCCGGCTCGGGAACCTCGGTGGCAAGGAGAGGGGGAGATGGGACCCCCAAACTCCGCTGCTCCCCCGGCTCGGCACCGGGAGAAGGACGGTGGGGAGCAGAAGGCGAGCCCGACCGGGAATAGGTAACGTTTTATTTCCCCTTTCTGGTGAAAAACTGCGATTTAAACGTGCTCCCGGAGCGAAAAGCGTTCAGCTTCGCTTCAGCTTTACCATAACCGGACGATGGAGCGGTTTGAGTTTCTCTCACGCAACTCAGCGAACAAATAAATATATATATATATATATATATAAGGCCGGTAATCTCTGTAGAGCTACTCGCACGAAATGGCAAGGACTACGCGGTACTTAAATAAACATATTTTAAGCCAACGTTATAAAATGACACACACACGGTTCATTCGATCGGCCGAAGGTGTTTTCTGAATATTAGATTATTGCTTTGGGGAGGAAGCACAGCTCAAAAGCGAGGTAATAAGCTTTAACTGTAAATACCTTTGTATTTATTTACAGTGTAACCCTTAACAATGCAACAGCAATTACTGCTAAGTGTTGTCTTTAGATAAGAGATACTGATAGGAAACTGTATTATCTTGAAAGCAAACTTTAGGCCTTAGATTTCTGTAATCAAATAATCTTCTTCCCAAGTCTGACTGACAAGGCAGATTCTTTTAAGTTAATGAATTTATTGCATTTTGGTAGTTATTTACAAAGGGGGAAGATGATCCCCATTGCCCGTAGGATCTTAATTGCAAATTGTCCAAAGGTGAGGTTCTTGATCTGACAAGACGTCAGTCTGTGCAGCTCTCATCTACTACCCTGGTAATATTTTTTTTTTTCTTCCGATTTCAGGAAAAAGGAGGAAGGGAAGGAGACCAAAAAAAAAAAAAAAAAAAAAAAAGGCGCCCAAACAACTACGTAAGAAAAATTCTTCTACACAAAGTCTTTCTAAAATAATTCCAGTCCGAGCAATTAGGGCACTTCCAACAGACCAGTAATGTCCCTAAAGGACGGGAGTAAAGCAGTGCTATAAAGGTGTAAGGGAAGCCCGTACAAGCGCCCCTTTATCTAACTACTTTTTTTTTTTTTTTTTCTGAAATAATAGAATAGTACTTTAAAAATATATATTACAGAAGCGGCTTCACGGATGTGATTGCGTGCATCGCTATCAATTCTACGAAGCAGTGATTTATATGCTGATTTATATGCTCACATTATATTTAAGAATATACGTGCTACAGAATATCTGGCTTCTACTATACACTGTGGAGTTTAGAAACATATGCAATGCGTATATGAAGCTATAAATAAATACGTAATCCTTCTTTAAATATAGATACATATGTAAATCCTATATATAAATACATTTGAAATACACACACAGAGATCGATAGCTCGATATATACACAGTTACACAAGGGCAGGAATCTAGTGCATGTACTTCTACCTCGGAGTTATCGCTTAGTATATCCTTACATAGGCATATTATTTAAAAAGCCGTAATGTTGTCATACTACTGTGTATGGTCAAATGTTTCCAGGTCTTGCCCATTAATTGCTAAGAAAACGTGTTTGTTTATTTGCCAACTCAGAGCTGCCATGGGAAAGTATTTTTTTCCTAGCGGATAAGGCGAGCTGACTAAGTGGAACATATTGCAGAAGAGACTGAAAAGGGATTTTTCGACCTGGCAGTTCCTAAATGGTCTCTGGAATTTGTGCGGAGGGGAACGAGCTGTTCCAGCGACAAAGTTAGTTATGAAATCCCTTTTCCCTCTCTTTCTCTCTCTCTCTCTCTACATGAAAGTATTAAAATATACAGACGTGTAAAGGATCATTCCAACTGAATGGTAATTTATTAATAAACAAACAATGCAATACCTTCAGAATATTTTCAACAAAAAAAAAGGAAAAATATTGATAGAATAAGATTAATACAGTTTCCCTTTTTATATATAGTGAAAAAATCAGCGTTTCAGTCAATTTTAACGTCACTTTTCAGTGAAGGGGGGAAACACTTTCTGGCGTTTGGTCCGCAACATCCAACTACAAATTAAAAATAAATTACTATGTCGCAATTTACATTTTAAAACAAGTCCTTGTAAAAGAGAAAGGGGGTGGGGGGGCGGAGGGAAGAAGCTGGTACTATACGCTGGACTTTCGCCCCCTTTTTTGAACACGGGGCATGACCTGAAGGGATGGGGAAGGGAGGG